AAAAAGACGAAGTGCAGATCGGAGTATGGTGCTGTCCCGGAGTCTCATTACTCATCTGAATGTGTAATAACAATGTGAAACTCCAAAAGTTTATTCCAAAAAACTCAAAAGACAGCAAAAGTCTCAAAAGTTTTTAAAATATCTTATCTTGCGATATTTCGGTGCGTAGCAACAAAATACAGTGTTTTCGCTTTTTTGCACTGTTAGGCAGTTCTGGCATTGGATGACGCGAATGACTAGTGAGCCAAAGGCGACAGAATGGTATAAGCGAGCAGATCCGGGAAGCCGTCCAAAGAGGGTTCCAGGTGCTTACTTATGGTAATCCTTTATAATTTTTTTTGCTTTTTTCTTCCCTGGAGAGTCATTTAGTCACAGTACCTTTGACATTGAGGCAAGTATCCACAAGATTTAATCGCAAAATTTATCTTTGAGCGCCATCGTCTGACTTTTAGCCTCTTTGAATAGACCCAATCTCGCGGTATTGCACTGAGCCCAAAAAAGGTGGCCGATCATTCCGTTGTTTGTTTGGGCAGCATCAAAGTCATCACTTCTGACTGTACGTGGAGACTTTAATTGTTCAGATGATCCGCTCAGAAATGTGGTAAATGAGATAAAGGCAGCAGAGACCACTCATCGTCAGTTACGAGATGATTCTCTTCGTTATCCTTTTGACCACTGGCCTCATCGCTACAGCTAGCGCTCAAAGCTGCAGTGTAGCAACTTCAGGTGAGCCTACCGGGTTCCTTACCGTATTTCTCTGCTGAAATCGGTTTTTCTAGGCTCTCTGAATGGTCTCTGTCCGACAGGATACACACTCATCCCATCGGGATGCTGCCCCTCGGATTGTGTTGTCAGTAAGTCCAGTCCACTTTCCTTACAGTACTGCTGAACCTTAAATTTTACGATTTCAGCTGCCACTACTGCCTCGACGTGCTTTGACAAAGTATGATCCTCCAGACTCATAGCACGTTACCCTTTCATTTGAAAGCTCCATATTGTCAACAAAAAAATGTTTTTTTTGCAGTTAAACCCGGATACCGGAAAATCAGATTGTCCTGGAATGAAGGGCTACTGCACGAATTCAGCGTATCTGTCTCTCATGAAGGAACAATGTCCACTCACTTGCGGTTATTGCACCGGTAAGTTTGACCCTTTCACATGTCTCTTCTGGGTAGTTAAATCAACTCTCAAGTGGTTAGGGCCGTCAGCTTGGTGATCAGCTGTTCTCAGGGTTACTTTTTACTTCTTGACGTTATCTGACACCTGGGATCATGGAACGAAAATCCAGCAAAAAATCGGAAACAGCTGATTTTGGCTACGGGCAGATTGATCTATACCACTTGCACAACCTCAGTACATTCTCTGAGAGATACGAGAAAGCTTTGGCCTCTTGAGCGAGAATAACTGGAGCTGATCGGCTTGCCCACGAGGGCGCACTTCTTCACATTTCGGCGTTTTGTTTTGCCTGTTTTAATGATTACACGAAGTTATCAGTGAGATTTTGATGAACTGCTGCAAAGTTTAATGACTTCGTTATTCACTCAAACATTAACGTTCTCGCTCTCCTTAAAGTGGAAGTGGTGTAGTGGCAGAGGCACGCTTACCACGCGCACTGTCCGGGGATCAAATCCTAAATCGGCCCAGCCTAGTCCAACCAATCCATTCCCCCCCTGGGACAGTAAAGTTTGGTTACAGTTTCAGCCTAGGACGACAAGACAGCACTGACGAGTTCATCGGCTGGCCTTCCGGCAAGTCATTGTATAGGCCACATCGCATTCAATAAGCCACTACGATTCTGAATGGAAGTAGAATGCGTGCCGCATCCCACAAAGGGACTTGATCAACGGCGAAGACTTCATCCTTTATCCATTGGCGGGTCTCCACAGCATGGTCCGAACTAGCTTAGCTAAATTCCATTCGATGCGCCCACTGAGCCGAAATGGGCCAAGAAAGCCCTTCCCTGTATCGACAATGTGCAACAGCCATTTATCAGTTGCCATATCATTTTTCAATCTCTGGTTTCGCAAACTAAGTCACTAGCTCGCTCTGGAGGATGAACAGCGCCCTTGGGTGTTCCCCTTTCACCGTGACCCCTCCAAAAATCAGCCTGCTCAGAAGAGGTATCCTGATCGGTCATTGGGAGCGCATGCGCTTCCAATTGGAGACCATGCGCTCTCGTCCTGCTTCGCTGATTCTAGACTTGGCCAGATGTGGCACTTCGGAAGAGCAGGACCTGTGTGTTGTGTAGAAGACGACACTACGACGCGAATCCTCCAAATTAAAATGTAAAGAATACAGGGAGTACCCTGAATAAGGTCCGCAGTCAAGCGGCACGGTGTCAGGAGGAGTGGAATGAGCCAACACGCGGCTTCTCCTAGTATTGGCTGTTTTCTACTTGGACCGGCCTCTATTGGTAGAAAACGCAGCTGCAGAGGTGATTCGCGCCTTTTGAATTCACCGTAGTGGATTGCGAGACGAGCTCGTTCAAGCGCGACGGCTGCACCACCCAGGAGGTTTCCGAGCATAACTGAGTTTAGCCAACCTGTGTGGGTGTACCGCTAGTGTAGGCTAGACCACTAACTATAAAGCGACCCTGGAGCGAAAGAAACGATAGTGGGCCTTAACGAAACTTG